CATACCCTCCGATCCTCCAAACGTAATAACGCGATTATGACGCGTGCCGGTTCCGCTTCCGGCCGTAAACTTCCGGCGAATTAACTGGGAACGAGCGTCGTTCCAATTTCATTCGCACCCCGCGACGTTTCGTACGGCTCGATAACGATTTATCGTTCGATCGAGATTCGGTCGCCATTTAATTGCACTTTCCTTGCTCCACATTCTGCCGTTTTAATTACAAAGCAGCAACGATCGATGACGCTCGTCACGCGTGACATCCAGTTACACGCGTTTTACATCTTGACAGATTGTGTAAATGTACAATTTTGTTTGCACCGGTTTCAGTTTCACACGGCAGGCAAGGATAGTGGATGATTCTCACTCGCGAATGTAAATCAGGGTCCGTCGCTTCCTCGCAATTTTTGAGCTATTTGATTTTCCCATAAAATAATATTAAAAATAATATTGAAATACGGAATAAAATATTCCTACAAATTTTTAATTTGCTATGTATGACGACGATATAAGAATATTTCCAGATTTCTTCGTTTCAACTATCGTTCACCGAGGAATGTACATGGCGAGAACCACCCTGATTTACATAATTAGGTTCCCGAAGGAACGTTCACAACGTGGGATTAAATTCTCTTAGGTTCCCCTTCCTTTAGGCAAGCTAATTCCTCTTGGGACCGATCTTCCTATAGTGTTACGCCGCCTGGAGCCCGAAATAATCTCTGCGGTGGTAAAATAAACGAATATTTATTACCATTTGTAAATTCGTATCGCTTAAAAATACCGTGTGTTTATTTCACACGTATATTTCCTGCTTTTTCCTCTCATTTTTTCCTTTCTAGAAAGTCGCAACGAACGAAGATGCAACGCTCAGGTGACGCGCCATTTATTACCATTTTCCTCGCGTTCGAGGAAAGAGTAAGGCAGAAAAAATTCGAGGAAAGGCATTATTCGTGGTCGGACCTGTTCCAAATCCTTCGCCCAGCCCCTTTTGGATATTATACTCGATGCCATATGTTATCTCAATGAAAATTCTGTGTCTGCCCCGGCTCTCTGCCTTTCGACTGGTCCCTTTGCAGAGGCTTTACCCATAAATCTTTGGCATGGCATTCGGCCCGACAACTTCGTACATCGCTGGGAATAATGCTCGTGTACCACCTGAATATCCGCAGACTCCATTAAGTGGGATTAATTTATAGCGGTGTCGTCTGTCGTGTTCAAAGTTTCTACCCTTCGAACGGTCGTAAACGAAAAAATATGTCCCCGTCCTTGCGTCTGTAACGGAGCTTCCGGTACATAATAACGCTTTTACTTAGCTCCGAACTTGGTAACTCGCGCTGTGACGCTGCACGCTGAGCGATCTCACAAAGTTTCCATGTTCTTGAGATAACAGGACGGAGTACGGGGCGACTTTCTGTCGAAACTAGCATGCCGATGTTTCAACGAATAACCGAAGCTTTAAGTCGCCGTATAGCTAACGTTAAGAGATTAATTCGACTATGTTCGAAGAGTTCGAACCCTTAAAGGGGTTCCACGAAAAGCGAAGAGTTAACTCTTTGGCCTACAATCACGTGTAAGACTCGTGGTGAGGGTTTCGAGCCAAAACTGATTATCACGAGCCTGGCACGTGGTACATCGGTCGGGCTAAAATTGACTATCACGGGCTTGATACGAGGCACATCGACCGGGCCAAATGTTAACACCACGTGTCACGCCCGTGGTTTGTCGATATGCCTCGCGTAAATCGTGTACGATTGGTACAACTTAAGACAGATGTGTCGAGCCGTGGACTGGCTCGAAGGCAGTTCTGTTTACGTTTTGGAATTACGCTGTTCGATGTTAAATCGTAGAGCAAAGGGTTAAATGCAGGGTCAGGAAAATCTTCGAGAAACGGTGGACATAAACCGAGGATGTCTGACTCTTAGATCCGAATAATTTTCTTTGCTCGGGATTGGCGAGCGATCCTCGAAAGAAGCCAACGATCGTAACTTCCTCTGAGAAGGGAAGCTAGCTATCTCTGGTCTCGTCGTCTCTAAAACGAGACCATTTCCCTAGCAAGATCGATTCCGTTCACCCTAGTCTCCAGCCAGGAGGATCCGAATGCAGAGTTGCGCGGAAGAATAAGGATGTCGCGTTCGGAATTTTCCTCTTCGGAAACAGGTATCCGCCTGTTCCCTGCACCCTTTCGGTGCATACACAGTCGACTTCCGATACACGCACGGAGAACCATGGCATCGTTAAAACGTCGTCGACGATGCTCCCAACTTCGAGGATACACTCCAATTCTCTCGGCCCTTAAGATCCCGTGAAGCCCGGCTTCTCGAGGGAATAGAAGGCTTCTGTTCCCGCAAAATTCGATCTCCGACCTCGGCGAAACTCGACGAGAAGCGTTCCGAGGCCGGAAATTCGCGCGAGGTCGTTTGGTCCGCGAGAAGATTCGGCCACAGACGGAAAGAAATGGCGAACCGTGTTCCGCATGGGCGATAATCGCGGACGAGAAAATATACCGGTGAAACATTTCGCCAAGAATCGGCCACTTTCATCGCACCCGCGATTGCACGCCGAATTGCTGACCTGCTGCGAGAGAAAGTGGCCAATTTTCTCTCCACCCTCGAGCACCTCGGTAAAAACCGAGCTGCCTCGAGATGACCATTTCCGCAAGCGTCTGTCAAACGCGGACGCTCCACTGGGCGTAAAATCCACGATTTCTAGAAACCACGACGACCCAAAATTCAGGGATACAGTCTCGAATACTGCTGGATCACTTTTTCCTCTCTGGAATCAGGCTGGAAGAAGAGATCCATCAGGGACTGCATAATCTCGAGAGTAATCTTCTTCTAAGGTCGTTGGACAATTTCTCGCGAAATTCCTCACGTACTCTGGCTTACGTTGCACACGACGAAGATCCCTGAAAGGAACCGTTGAAATACAAGAGGGAATTTCACGATCCTCGCGCTCAAGGAATCCCGAGGAATCCCGAGGAATCCCGAGGAATCTCGAGGAGGAAATTTCGACGCGGAATCGACGGAACGGCGTCGAATCGGTGCTGAATGGCGAGACCGTTCGCCGGTCTAACGCTTTCTTATCGTTGAAAGATGAAAGGAAACACTACGCGGCTCCCTGTCAGGATAGCGGAAAATAATACGAGCGGATTATGAGGGGGATTGGAGAGATACTGCGCCGTAAATAGTGTTTCAACCGGTCGGACGTGTTAAGATGGCCGTCGAAGGATATACGACGGGAATTCACCTCGAAATAGAGCACGCCGGGTATTTTGTGTACATCGACGACTCTGTTCGTGATACATGAACCGCTTGAAACGAGCCAAACCAACGACGAACAGGCAAAATTATCGCTGATCGTAAATCATTCGGTGATTAAACAGCGTTAGCTCTTCGAATAGGCTCTGGCCACTTTGGTCAAACTGTTACATTAACTTTACGATCTCGGATAGGCTTCGCTCATCCTCTCCATTGTGTACACGAATTACCTACAGTCGGAGTTCAAACGCTCTAGGAGAGTGAAATATTTGGTAAATAAAACGTGTAATCAATGCGCTGGCAGAGACTCCGATTATAAACGAGGAGGAATAGCGAGCACCCAGAACTAAATCGCGCCAAGGTACAGCTGTCTGTCGAAGACTCGTTGGAAAATTACATCGCGCGATGTACGAAGCGAGTTAATTAACTCGCGAACGATGAATCAGACAGGACGATTTCCGAGAAACGAGCTCCGTTCTCAAAAGTTTCTTCGTTCCTTCGTAGCTCGGACCAGGCTCGTACAGGCGCCGAGTTACGCGGGATCCGCCATTTCCGGAAACCACGGGTTTCTCTTATACGCGAGGTAAAAATTATCCGTGTACCCAGGATAATTACGCGAGGTAAATTTCCTCCAGTATCCGATATAGTCGGTACGATATTTCCGTCTGCACGCACAATACCCCGAAATACAGTTGCTTCCTGAATCGCAATGGCGGCGCGGCATGTCGTCTGGTGACGTATGTATAAGGAAATTGAGGTTGCCGTGAATTTGGAAATAGGAAATACAGGCCACGCTGGCAACACGAGCTGCTAGATGGCTACAGATTTCGAAACGAGGTCGCAGCTTAACCCTCTGCACCGGAAACCTTCGCGAGCGAAGCCCCTTTTGCAAGTATGGCGGCCAACTCGAGCCGCTAAACAGAGGGCAAGTGCTGCTGCGAGTTTGCGAGCTAATCGAATTTTTGCGACGAGGCGTATCGTCTTCGAGGGTATCGAGTTGGACCGGTAGAATCTTGAACTATGGGTGCGCTAACTCGGAAGCTTGGAGTCGCGGAAGCGTCTGCTGAACGGTGCACCAGGGTACACCTTCTAATCTAGATGACCAGGGGTGCCGAGCTTCGAACGAGACCACAATGTATCATCAATTATCTCGCGGTCCATCTCGAATGTGCCTCGAATCGCGGCTGTAACTTCTAAACTTCGTCAGCTATATAAATTGAAACTTCCCCGCTTCATAAGTCCCGAGATTGCGTCGAACCGAAGACCTAACACCCGAATAAAGGATCGAAGGCGTGATTTTAATCAGTAGCGAATGGTACCCGAGACGAAGCATTGCGAAATTGAATGATCGTGGAGGTAGCAAAACCGAGTATTTGTTCAGCAAACGTTTACAGTGGTCGATACAATCGACGTAATAAACAGCGTGACGCGCGAGACACGAGTAATGATTTATAATCACCGAACAATTGCAATAAGGTCGTAAAGACGTCTCGCAATCATGTAAAGTCAATCAATCTTTACAAAGTCGTCGTGCAATTATCTTATAGCCGCAAACCTAACCTTAAATATAGTTACTTTATAGTCATCTTACTACCTCGCACCGCGTCCAATTATATCCAGCGTCCTAGTTCTTTCCCAAACTTTCAACGAGCCAATCGAAGCGAAGAAAATGTACTCACGAAGTTCGGTACGAGAACTAGCACACCCTGTACAGCGACGTAGCCAAATAGATGAGGCAGAGCTTACCTAGACACGCTCCTCGCCAGATGCAGCGCCGAGGATGGCGCCAGCGAGTCCCTCCGATCGCAGCGACACCTGTGTTGGTGGGAAGCCTGCCTGGACCGGTAACCAGTAGGCACGATCGTCTGCTGCACTTGCGTTTGCGGTTGCGGCTGCGGCGGCTGCGGCTGTGGCTGGGCCTCGCCGTCGAGCCTGCAGTGCAGCTCGATGTCCGGTACCGATCTCGTGGCCGGATCCTCGGTGGTGCCGCTCTCCTCGGAGCCGCCGAGCCCCGAGACGGACAACTGTGGCGAGGCAACCAAAAAGGTTGCTCGATCCTGTCGCGTGAGCACCGGCTTGCCCTGAGACGCCGCGGCAACCACGACGGGCGGGGGTGGCGCCCTGCTCAGCAGGGCCGCCGTCTCCTCGCTCGAGCCGTAATCGGTACCGTTCCCACCCTCCTGAGAGCCCACATTGCCGTTCGTGTTCATCTTCCGGCCAGATTCTCTGCTGTCGCGTCACGTCGCCATTTCCTGCAACACCAATTTTAGTTCCCATTTCATTTCGTTTCATTCTGTGCTTCTAGAAGAGGAACTGGGTCCAATTGTTAGGCGAGGGACAAAGTGTCGTCGAGGATAAGAAAGCTCGCCGAGTGTCAGTGTCTATTAATCGGGTGTATTTAATTTTGCAAGCGTTTGAAAATCGCCGAGCAACTTGGTCGATTTGCTAAGCGAGGGATGAAGCTGTTGCCTGGGATAAGTAAGCTCGTCGGGTGTGTATTAATTAGAGTCTGCACACCGTGGTTGGTGGACTGAAGTGTTTGATAGAGGTATGAATGGAGGGTGCTCTGTCTGGGGCGCTGAAGGTGTGAAAGAAGGTGTGTTTGGAGCAAATACTCGGAAGTCTCGGGTGAACGGAGGATGCTGTTTTGGCCTTGCCTGGGGAAGTCTTTCAGAGACGGCTGCGCCGAATAGGAGGAACGGAAAAAAGGCTGCAGAGATGAATGACGTGGAAATGGAGGATCGTTATTATTTCACTCGAGTTCTCGCCGAAAACTTGTCCGCAACTTCCTATTCTTACGTTATCCTTTCTATCGTAAGAGGATTTTTCCGAAAGACGGATTCGTTACCCTCACGCGACTCTCCGCGCGGAATGCACGCGATGAGCTCGCTTGAATTCGCTTTCCTCCGACTCCAATATCCACGTCATCCAGAACGAACTTCTCGCTACTGGATCTTCTCGCACCTCGGACCCCGTGTTCCCCGAATCCCGATAATGCTGCTGAATTTAAGGATCGATGCGAGCGAATTTCCGCGACACGCGTGGATATCGATTCCCGAGATGGATAAACGAAGCGGAGCTAACTCAAAGCGTGCAGAGGCACGTCTGTGAACCGTCGAGTATCGACAACCGATAGGCCCGTGTCGTTGGCTTCAAACGAACGGTCCTTGACTCCTCGAAACCGACGCCTGGTCGAAACTCGTCGTTTTCGCTTCCTCGTTTACCAGTTCGCGCAGATTTACCGCCTGTCACGCTTCCGTCGCGCGGTTCAGTCTATTCGCTAAAATACACGCGCCTGGTCGAGGCTTACCGCCATCTTCGTCGAGATTTTCCCGTTAAATATGGCTGTTTAAAGTCCAGACAGGGGGAACCACGCCGACGAAATTACGACACTCGACAAAAGCCACGCTATATAAAATTCTATTATTAAAATTCTCAAGGGATCCTTATTTTAAGATACACCTCGCTGAAACGTTGCAACCGACAACCCCTTGTTGCGTGGAAAATAGTTGCAAGGGTCAGGTTCAACCCTTCGGTCGCGATCACCGGTCATGGAATATATTAACGATCAAAGGGTTAATATATCAACGGAAAATTGATATATTAAAAGACTCCGATAATCTCTGCCAAATATTTTTCACGAACCTTTGCAAACTCTTTTGAAGCTCTTTTGAGACTCGCGAATACGTTACATCTTTTAATCTTTCAAATGTGTTCCTATTGCTTGAAGCGATCTGCATCGCAAACGGAGTTATGTACAATATCGATTATATCGGCAAACGCGTGTGTTCAGGATGACTCGTTGGAGTTGCAAGATCACGAGATATGCGGTTTTTGCCTTTCTTCTAGCGTCTATGGAAATGGCTATGAAGAGTCTATCCGCACGTGCAGGTGCCCTGATCATTTCAAACATAGTCTATCACCGAAACGTAATCTCCGTTGAAAGGGTCAAGGTATATTTTCCTCAACTTTCCAACACGCTCGACTGAATGAAATTACACTCCATTCTTCGCGAATGTTCCAGGTGCAAAACGCCACGAAGAGAGTGTACACCCCGGGAGAAAATGATTAATGCACCGTCGCGATCACCCAGGCGTAGGAAATTGTGGAAATGAAATTCGCGTTTGCCTTCGATTCGGGGGTCGTAAATGAGGAATAATGGGGCAACGACCACGGTCTTTTTCGTTTGTCAGGCTGAAAAACTGCCGGCCATTTCGCAATGGCCGTCGAGAGACGCGAAGCCGATGCAATTTAATGCCGATTGCTGACCGCACCCAAATTCGAACGCGATAAAATCGAGGGAAAATGGGACGCGAACGTTCTTCGCCCCCTTTATCTCGCGTCTACCGCCGAATACCAATGGAAACCTTCCATCCTGCGAATTTTTCGCGCCGACCAGGCGCCACGAGCCTCAGACGATCCCCGCGAAATTAGTTTCCACCCCGGATCGAACAGCGAAGTACAAATTTACTGGACCCTGGCTAAACCAGCTCTATCCCACCTTTGTTTCCACGAGATAATCGCTTCCTATTATCGGCTCCCGTCGAAACAAGGAATTGTTTCATAATCTCTATACATCCCCAACTAACTTATTTCAACCCCGAAATCGCAGGATCAAAGATATCCTTTAGTTGACAACGTGGTACGAATACCGTGAGTGTTGGTTTTGTTTACGTGAATGAGAATGAGCATGAATAAGTGAAACTCATTTGCGATGATATAAATATAATATGCGCGAGTGCAGTTTAGTGTGAATGATGTTTGAGAAAATGTTTAGAGGAATGTGCCAGAATAAAACAGTTATGTGAGAATCGTCAAAGAGGAAACAGGGGTTAATAAGAGTGAGAGAAATTTTCTAAAAAATGTCAATCAATGTTTTTGTTTAAAATAGTTTATTGCGAGTTGTTTTCATTATTTATCACTAGATTGCGGGAGCGAATTAATTTGACTCATTTACGATTTTATTGCTTCGTATATAGAAAAATTTAAATAACTTTTTTTGAAACATATGCTGGCTTTTCATAGAATTATAAAATGTATACAAATACTAATTTCCATATTTAAAGTTGCTCGTTTTACACACACGTAACTTATTTCTTGTGCATACCAATTTTAAAAATTTTTTAAACAATCCGATGCGAGAGTTTCATGTTGAAACTTGTCAATTTACTAGTTTATGGCCCCCTAGCCCACTGAGATCCAAGGGTACCACGCATGAGGACTTACGTTGAGACAGCCCTGGTTAACCGAGTCCCAAGTACTGTCACCCAACCCTGTCTAATGAGGGTCGTATTGTCTCGCAAAAATCTGCGGAAAATGTATTTTAAAAACAGAATATATACGTAAAAATTATTTCGAATAAAGTTTCCTTGAAATAAAATTTTATTTTTTTTGAAAAGCTTCAATTTCGATGTTTGAGTCAAATTAACTCATTTCGGGCAAAATAGGTATGTATCCAACCTCCTGCAATCTAGTGTTAAATATTTTTATCTAAATATACTAATGTGTTAATTGTTTAAAAAAATAGAAGATATTGGTGTCAATTTCTATCCACAAATACGATTATGTAGGAATGCGTTTATAGAAGGAGCATTACTCGACATGAATTTGACAGGTTTGCGGTGGTCTCGGGCAAAGCCCCAAACGCGAGAAAATTGGCGTGATTCAGATAGAGGGACGAATAGAATACAAAGGGACTTCTCGTGTTCTTTGGTAATCCTTGCATGCGTGGTGCTTGAAATAAGATTAATTCGCAGCTGTCCGCGGAATAATCCGAAATGTATCTCTATGGTCGTAAAATACCGCGTGTCACCCGTTTTCGTTTGCGAGGCACTGCCATTTAAAATCCCAATTAAAAGGTCAGCCGATGCAATTAATAAATAAACTTGAAATTTTTACCGCGTAGCCAGAAATTTAATGGGAAACGCGATCGCGTCGACGCACAGATATCCCATGACAGGAGAATTTAGTATAACATTAATCCTGCCAAATTAAACGTTGAATAACAGAGGTCGCTTGTTGGCATTACCCAGGCAGGCCAACTTTTACATCCGGCTCGTACATTTCCTACCTTTTATCTTGCCGGCCCGAAAATGTTTCATTCTCGATACCATCGGCCCGGTCACCGAAATCCACGACGAGCCTGAATACGTTCCCATATTCGGCCCAGGTGGCGTTTTATTTAGTACCGATCTAGATCGGCCATGCTCGCCTACATTTTCAGGGCTAATAATTAAACGGGCTTGCGAACGAGCGATCGTTGGGAAATGTCAAGAATCGTTTCACCTTCGAACTTTTCACCTACCTCGCGGCTCTTCACTTAAACCCCACGCCGCAGCTATATGCTTCTCTGCGCTTCAGCTGGAAGAGCTGGAGCAAAAAGTCGAGGAAATTCCGTGTACGTTTCGCGGGGCTCGCGAGGGATATTCCTCGCACGGAACCGGGGGGAGAAATAAAAAGAAGACGGAAAATGAATCGGAAACGTACAGCTGCATCACGCGTGCTGCTCGAGCGTTTCCATTTCGGCGACGAGGCGAGTTATTTTCGTGCTCGATGGCAGACGCGGCGCGGAGCGACGAGTAAACGCTTTCGTTCCGATCCTTCGTCGCCCCGCGAAATCCCTTCGACGTTGACAGCTGTAAAATACGATCTTCTCGCCTTCTCGGATAATAAAGTAAAATTGAACGCCGGCAGACGAAACTCTACCGGCATAAAAGGAACAATCGTTCGTGTACCGAAATTACAAAGCGGGTTTCTACCCCGCGAATTTAGAATCGCGAGAAAACGGAGAAATAATTAGAAAACGGAGAGTACGCGCGTGAAAGGAGAGCTTGAAACGTAACGTGCAATTCTGGGATGCTTTTTTCTCGAGGCTGACACTGGTGCAGCAAGACAGGTCGCAGCTTCTCGGTAACATTGTTCGCACTCGACTACCTTCTAACCAAATGCCAACTCTCATCCGTCCTCCAGGAACATCTACACGAGGACCGGCGTGGGTGTAAGCGCATTCTCCTATAAAACTGCACGGATCCCTCTAAAGCCGGGGATGTAGGCACTTTGGACGACAGGACAGCTACTCGAACTTCTTCCTCTCTGAACCTGCACCCGGAGTAGCCGGATCGGGTCTCGGGTCTGAAAGCGGGGCACATTGTTCCGACTAGGATGTATAGCCGAAACCGTAAGAACGCGGAGCTCGTTTTCCCGTAACTCT